GACTGCTGCCGCGCACCTCACCGGCCAGGAGCGGACGCCTGCAGGAGCCGCCTGGCTGCTGGTCTGAGCAGCCCCCCGGGGGCCGACCGGCCCTGGGTTCGACGATCTCTCAAGCCACCAGGAGTCAGGCATCAGGAGGAGGAGGAGGAGGAGGAGGAGGAGGAGGAGGAAGCCACGGGCTGAGGAGGGGCCGGGCCGTCGTCCCGTCGGTCGCCCCCGCAGCTCGTGGCCGCGCGCAGCGCGCCATTGGCGCCGCAGCCGCGGCGGCGCGGAGCCGCCACGCCCCGAGAGGGCGAACCCGCCTGGCATAGGCGCCAGAGGGAGAAGAGGGCCAACGCCAGGACCCTCATCCGCGTCCTCGACGCGGCACACATCCTCGGCAGCCACCACAGTGCCCAGCAGCAGCAGCACCAGCAGCAGCAGCAGCACCAGTGGAAACAAGAAGAAGCTATGGCGCCGTGGAACCAACAAGGTGGGCAGTATCAGAAGTACTACACGCAGAAGGATCAGCAGACTTGGAGAGACAAGGCCCCATGGACAAGAAGGGGCAGCAGAAGTCAGTCCAGACCGCGCGATCAACAGCATCGTGAACGTGATGGACGACTACGAAAAATATACGATGACATACCTATTGCCAAAGCGGATGAAGCAAATGAACATACGACTTTTGTGGTGCCACCTGAGGGAAACCAACAGATACAGCAGTACAAGAGGGATGCCAATCAGAAGATCAATAAATTGCTGAAGATGGTTTTGGCTGCAAGAGAAGCGGATCAAGGTTGTATTTCCCAGGTGGCAGAAATCAAAGTGCTGAAATACATGTTGATGATAGTCAAACCGAGTTTCAAACAACGGAGAATATTGGAGAACGATATTGAGAAGCTCGAGGCTCAGATTAGGAAGATCCAAAGTGAGAAGAAAAAGTTGGCGGATCAGGAAATGGAATTGAGGCAAAAAAGGGAGCACACATGTGAATTGCTAAATGAATTGAAGAGGAAGCTCGAAGAAGAGGACGAGGAATATCTGATGGACGACGAAGACGACATGCGGAGTCGGAAGATGGATGAGTATGAGAGTGGACCTCGTCGGATGAACGTGGCATCGGGCTCGGGTTGCATGACAGGATCACAAAGAATGGGGCATGGAAATCATGGAGAAGGGCAAAGTGTTGAAGTATTGGCGATGATCAACCAGATGAAAACATTGACGGACATGGTTACTGCGCAGGCGAACAGGCAGGAAGAGCTACATCAGGCACTACTACGGTCTGCGCAGGCCGAGAACAAATCGAACTATCTTCAGACACAGCTGATGGCGGAATGTGCGAGATTGAAGGAGCAACAGGAGGTTCAATATCATCAACTGCAAATACAGCAACAGCGGGCAATGGCAGAGCAGACGATGAGTATGCAGAATATGCAGAACCAACACCTTCAGCAGCAGCAGTTGGAAGAACAAAAGGCTGAATGGATAAGGCAACAGACCGCTGAGGCCTTCAAAAATATTACTCCAGAGCAACATCAGCAGCAACTCCAGCAATGGTACAAGGAGCAAGAGGAGCAGGCTATGAAGGAGGACGCAGAGGATCTTGCTCAGTTTGCCCAAGAGCTTCAGCAGAACGAGATGATGCAGCAGCAAATTGGTATTATGGAAGCAATACAGAGATCAAACACTCAGGTTGGAATGACGACAACGGTGGGGGGCACTGCTACACCGATGAGGGGAGGGTTCGAACATTCTGCTCCACAATCGTCTCCGCCACCGTATCCAGAAGAAAGTGAAGTGGATCAGGCAATACGAATGGCAGATGATGAGCTGGATAATGCGCGAATGATACATGGACAAGGCCCGAATAGGATAACACAGAGGATCACAGCCAAGGATGAGATGGAGGTGAAGATGCAAGAGGAAGAAATAAA